ACCCTAAACCCTAAACCCTAAACCCTAAACCCTAAACCCTAAACCCTAAACCCTAAACCCTAAACCCTAAACCCTAAACCCTAAACCCTAAACCCTGAACCCTGAACCCTGAACCCTGAACCCTGAACCCTGAACCCTGAACCCTAAGTGTAATGGCACTAAATGTGCCCGCTGATGCGGCTTTTCGACAGCCACGGCAACCACGTCGAGCACTTCAGCAGGTCTACCTTGCGGGTTTGGGGTTTTGGGTTTAGGGTTTAGGGTTTAGGGTATACTCGGGTCCTCAGTTCGTATTGTGAAGCTTAGGTCAGTCAAATGAGGAAGCAGACATGCTCAATGCTCCTTAACCCTAAACGCTAGACCCTTAACCCTAAGCCCTAAGCCCTAAGCCCTAAGCCCTAAGCCCGAAGCCCTAAGCCCTAAACCCTAAACCCTAAACCCTAAACCCTAAACCCTAAACCCTTCACGCCCTTGTTCAGAGGCTCCTTCTTCAGTACCTCCCGGACTTGGCGGCGCATTTAGAGTCCCAAGGTGGATCCGAGGGCACCGCCTTGAAAACAGTAGGGTTTAGGGTTTAGGGTTTGGGTTTAGGGTTCAGGGTTTCGGGTTCAGGGTTTGGGGTTTGGGGTTTGGGGTTTAGGATTTAGGGTTTAGGGTTTAGGGGCTCAAGGGTTCCGGGGTTCAAGGGTTCAGAGTTTAATGCTTCGGCCCTGGGGGTCCTGGATTTCGGGTTGGCTTCAACAAGAGTCTGTTGTTCAGGCGGGCTGATCTCAGCAACGCAAGCCCTAAGCCCAAACAACCTTTGGGGTTCAGGGTTTGGGGATTAGACCCTAAACCCTAATCCTCAATCCCTAAACCCTAAACCCGAAACCCGAAACCCTAAACAAACTTAACTTTGGATTCTTTTCAGAGGTCATCCGATAAAATTAGAACGCCATGGAGAAGATCCGCCTGTTCCCCTCCGCACCCTAAACCCTAAACCCTAAACCCTAAACCCGAAACCCCAAACCCCAGCCTCCCCATTTTGGCGCACATCCCGCGACTCCGAGCCCAAAGCCCTGCAAGACCTAACGCAGCCGCATGCTTCCGATGTTCGAGTTAGGGTTTAGGGTTTAGGGTTTAGGGTTTAGGGTTTAGGGTTCAGGGTTTAGGGTTGAGGGTTGAGGGTTTCGGGTTTCGGGTTCAGGCTTCGGGGTGTAGGGTTGCAACCTGAACCAACTAACCGCCGATACCTGAACCGTACAAGCCCCCGACCCACACGAGCCCTGCCAGAAATCGACCTGTCGCCGATCACTGTGACCCTCGGCAAGCACTACAAATAGGGCTTAGGGTTTAGGGTTTAGGGGTTTAGGGTTTAGGGTTTAGGGTTTCGGGTTTAGGGTTTAGGGTTGAACATCGCTGCTTTGGGCCCCCTGCTTCTACCCCCAACCCCCAACCTTGAACCCACAACCCTGAACCCTAAACCCTACTGTAGACCCTCTGTATCCAACGCATCCACACGTTGAAATGGAGTGGTCGCCTCAACCCCAAGGCTTCTGCCCAAGTCCCAGCATTGGTTTTTAGGTTCAAGGAGGTTAGTGTTTCGGGTTTGGCGCTCAGGGTTTGGGGTTCAGTGGCTTTGAAGCAAGGAACTGGTTCCTCTGCTTGTTTCTGAACACGCTGCCGCCCAAGTGGTCCCACCGAGTTCTCGACACCGTGCGGCCCTCAGTTAACTCGATAGATTCTAGGGTTTAGGGTTTAGGGTTCAGGGTAAGCCCCTAACCCATGAGCATGAAACGCAACAAACCCTGAAACCACTGGAAGGAAGCCCAACCTGCAATCAGGGGCTTAGAGGGTTGAGGGGCTGTGTGGAGGGCCTTAAGATTTAGGGTTTAGGGTTTTTAGGGTTTAGGGTTTCGGGTTTAGGGTCTTCGTGTTCTGGGGCACCAGTGCTCTTTCAGGGCTTTTGGGGTTTTGGGATGTGGGGATTTGGGGTTGAGTTAAAGTTTGGGGGGGGGGGGGGGGGGGGGGGGGTTGGGGTGTTAGGGTTGTGGGGTTGCGGGGTTCTGGGGTTATTGGGTATAAGGCTCCTAAACCCAAACGGTAAGACATGTTTCCTTTGTGGCAGCAGTGAATCGTCAAGCTACCCGCGGGCTGGTTAAGTCGCGTGCACACTGGGGATTCGCGAATTCCAAGACTGGTCAGAACCCACTTGCCACCGCCAAGCAGAAATCTCATTCACGACAACACCCCTCATCTTTAAGGGCAAAGTTCCTGGCGTGCAACGTTCCACGACAACAGCCCAAACGAGCTCGCCACTTTCTAAACTTAAGCCCCTGAGTCCACAAGCCCGAAGCCAGGCAGAATAGAAGCCCCAAAGGTAAGGTGCTGTCAATTCCACATTGTTCAAGGCTTGAAGGGTGTAATGGCGCTTTACGAGTTCAGCAAAAAAAGGAGCTGAGATTGCCACAACATGGTTGTTCTTGTTGTCTCTCTGCAGAGTGCTCTAATTTCATTGAGGGCTACTGCTGTACGGAAAGCCGCCCCTTCAACCCATGGACGCGCGGCCCTCACAACGGCTCGCGCGGGACTCGCGCAGAAGCACATATGTTGGCCGCCGTGAAGCAGTTTTTTCCCAGATCAAGTGGGATTGGGGGAAGAGATCGTGTGTGCAGCTACGTGTGTGCATGGGAAGGCTCTGCAAATTCTCAGACACATAGACCTTGCAGACAACTAGGGCTTCTCTTTCAAGCGTGTAGTGCCAAATGCATACTACTTTGCTTGTGTGTCGGGAACATGTGCATGTCGCGCGCGTGCACTCGCAGAATGGCATCAATTGCTGTCTTTGTGCTGACACAAATGTGCTCCCCTCCCAGGCGCATGTGTGTCGAGAACATGCGCGTGCGGCGCGTGCACATTGGGGGAACGGCTTCAACATATGTCTTTGTGATGCGACTTTACGCGGGGTGATGTGACTTCGCTCGCGGCCGCGTGTCATTGGGGAGATGTGACTTCGTACGCAAAGATGTGAGTTAACCTAGTCCCTAGTAGGCCGTTTTTTGGAGCTTCGAGCCATGACTTAATATTGGGGGTACTAGCAGCATGCCCTTATGGTCCCCATTGTAAATGTACTGCAATAACTCCCAAAACCTCATTCCTCTGCATACTTTCCGCCATTGCAGAGACAGCGTTTGTTGCTTTGGGCGTCTTAAACGATCATGGGATTCTACCTTGGACCCCTAAGGTTTTACCCTGGGGTTTGGGGACCCTATTTCAGGATTCCTAATGCCATACAAGGGCCATAATAGGTGTATATGAAGCCTCTTCGGAGTACAACCTCAAAGGTACGAGTCTTAGTACCTTGAAGGGGTTTGGGTGGCTCCTTCTTGCCTACAAGCAAAAACCCTTCACCCTGAACCCTAAACAAGCCTGCAACCCTGGGACCCCAATCCCTAGAGCCGCAAAATGTCAGCCCTTCCACTAAATCCCAAATCAAGAACCTTGAGCGCCAAAGCCTAACCCCGATCCCCAAACCTCAAACCCTGCTCCCTGCACCCGATAGAAGCCCAACCCCATACACCCTGAACCCCAAACACCATAAACTCTAGACCCTACACCCCCAACCCCCTAAACTTTGAACTCCTGGGACTTTTCTTGGACCCCGGAGGTTGTTGAGGACCTTTTTAAAGCTCCTGTATTCAATATAATAGGATTATCACCAAACAGGAAACCATAAGCCCAAAAAGATGGAAAAAAGCCTACACCGAAAACCACCCCCCCCCCCCCCCCCCTGCCCACCCCCCCCACCCTCAACCGAAAGTGAACCCTGAACCCTAAACCCTAACCCTAAACCCTAAACCCTAAACCCTAAACCCTAAACCCTAAACCCTAAACCCTAAACCCTAACTAACCCCTAAACCCTAAACCTAAACCCTAAACCCTAAAACCCTAAACCCTAAACCCTAAACCCTAACTCCCAAAGCAGGTCCTCTACGAGGGCTCGGTGACCCTCTTCCGGCTGGCCCTCGCCATCCTCGCGCTTCGCAGCCACGAGCTTCTGCTCTTCGGGCTATCTTGGGGGGCTTGGGGTTTGGGGTTTAGGGTTCAGGGTTTAGGGTTTAGGGTTTAGGGGGGATTTGGGGTTTGGGGTTTAGGGTTAGGGGGGGTTTGGGGTTTGGGGTTTAGGGGGGGATTTGGGGTTTAGGGGTTGGAGTTTAGGGGTTTCGGGATTACGGGGTTAGGGGGGTTTTGGGGGGGGGGGGGGGGGGGGGGTTTGGGGGGGTTGGGGGGGTTGGGGCGGTTTGGGGCGGTTTGGGGGGGTTTGGGGGGTGGGGGGGGGTTTGGGGGGGTTTGGGGGGGTTTAGGGGTTTACCTGAACCCTGAACCCTAAACCCTGTATGAACCCTGAACCCTAAACCCTGAACCCTAAACCCGAAACCCTCAACTCTCGCAGGTCCTGTACCTCCATCCCGGATGCCTTCGTGTACCTCCGCAGTCCCTGCGACTGCCGCGGCATCGCCAAGGCTGCGGCTCTTCTGCCGAGGGCCGCGCTTGGGGCTGCTGTACCCTAAGTCCTGTATTGTCGTGAACGTTTTTTTCATGCAGCTGTAGATGTGGCGTTGTTTTCTGTGTCCCCTGAGCACTCTAAAACCCCGTTCCCTTTATAAGCTCCTTTCCACAAAGAAGGCACCCTTTTCATTCCCAGGGTTTGCGGGGGGGGGGGGGGGTTTTGAGGGGTATGTGCCTGGATTTGGGTGTCCTTGAGACAGCAAAGCCAGTTCTGGTTTCAAGCCAAAGGGTGCGTTTCTTCATGGTCCATTCCATCCACTGCCCTGTCTGTCACGCGACGCAACAGGCAGTCGCGTTAAGTTTCCTTACCCGTGACAGTAAGTTGCAGCACTGGCTCAAACAACCCGTAGCATCAGTGAATTCTCCCATCCGATCACTGATCGTGAGATCGCTGGCTCGGCAAACGAGTCGCTCAGACAAGCAACCCGAGCTCGTGAGAGAAAGAACAGACCATGGCAAGTACAGGGAAGGCAGAGATACCCCCCGAAGATCGCATTGCGGTTCGAGACAAATGCGTGGTCTCGCTGGGAAACATGGTCGAGGTGATGGTGAACTGGGTGATCATGGGCAAGCTCTGGCTCCTGGTCTTCAACATCGGCTTCGGGCTGTCCCCGGCTATCCTGGGTTGGCTGCTTCTGGGCTTCAAAACTTGGGATGCCGCCGTCGATCCAATTATCGGCAATCTCTCCGACAACACGCGGACGCGGTGGGGACGGCGCAGGCCATACATCGTGGTCTTTGCCATCATAACCGGCCTGGTTTCGCCCATGCTCTGGTTCATGGGCTCGGACTGGAGTGAGTTTGCGCAATACGCCTGGATCGTTGTCTTCGGCCTCTTGCTCTACACTAGCTTCTCGCTTTGGGGCATGCCCTATTACAGCTTCATGCTGGAGTTGACGCCGAACTATGATGAGCGCACTCGCCTCTGTGCTTACAGAACCTTCTTCAGCAAGCTGACGATACCGGTTGGTGGTCTGAGCGTGTTCCTCGTCTCGCTGCCATTCTTTGGAGAAAATGGAGAGTCGGACGTGGTGAATGGCGTGCGACACATCAGTGTGCTGATGGCGATCCTCATCATCGTTTTCGGCACACTGCCCGGCGTTTTCGTGAAGGAGCGCTATTACGAGAAAGCCTCCAGCAAGGCTGAGAAGGAATCGCTACTGAAGAGCCTCAGGAAGACATTCTCCTGCAAGCCGCTGTGGCTACTCTGCGGCATGGTCTTCTTCAACATCCTGGGCACGGTCTCTATTGTTAATCTGGGCACCTATCTGAATCTCTATCTCATCAACGATGGCCAGCTCTTTGACGCGTCCAAGATAGAACTTTGGAAGGACGTCACCATGATGGCTGTCGGCATTGCCGCCCTGCCTGCCTGGGTCTGGCTCAGCGAGAAATCCGACAAAAAGCTGTCGATGGCGATCGTTCTGTTATCTGCCTTTGTCGGACAGTGGATGGCGTATTACTGCATCAACCCGGAGTATCCATATCTACAGCTGATACCAGCTGCTTTTGGCTCGGCAATCACCGGGTCCCTGTGGTTGATTGTCCCTTCTATGACAGCGGATATTGCTGACTATGATGAGAAGCATACGGGGCTGCGTCGAGAAGGCAGCCTCAATGCCGTTTTCTCGTTGAGTGTTCATGTCGCATTTGCCCTCGGTGCAGGCCTGTCAGGAGTCCTGATTGACATGACCGGCTTCGATGTGGACTTGGGTAAGGAGCAACCAGCAGAGGTACTCGATGCCATGTTCAACACCTACATCTGGTTCCCCATTGTCATCTGGATCATCAGCCTCGTGTTCCTGGCCTTGTACCAACTGGACAGGAACAAGTTGAAGGACATTCGTGCAGAGCTCGAGGCGCGCCGAGGAAAGCTCTAGTGCGTTTCACCAATACTCCGCCGGGAGTTTAGGGTTTCGGGTTTCGGGTTTAGGGTTTAGGGTTTTGTTTGCAGCGTTCGCGTCAGAGAAAATTAGAACGCGAGGAGCACCTGGTAACGTGCTGGAGTCTCAAAGAGAAACGCCAGCCAGCAAAAAAGCTGCCGCACAAAGGGCACAGGACAGGGCGCCGCGACACCCAAGGCACCTAGCCAAGCTAGTGTCCGTGGTGGTAGGGGCAGGAAGCGCGGCAAGAACTAAATTGAAGCTGCTCCTGCTGAAGGCACTGGGCACTCAACAATGGAGAAGAAGTCATTCAGCAAGATCGAGCAAGAGAGGATGCCAAAACAAGCCCTTTCCCACAACAGTGACATCTTTGCGTGGCTTTCAGCCCCCCCAATTCCAGAGCATGCTTGTCACGTCCCTAAACCCTAAACCCTAAACCCTAAACCCTAAACCCTAAACCCTAAGCCCTAAACCCTAAACCCTAAACCCTAAACCCTAAACCCTAAACCCTAAACCCTAAACCCTAAACCCTAAACCCTAAGTAATAGTCTTTTGCACTTTGAAGAGTGTAACCTTCTGAGGCCCGCCACATGTTTTTGCAGATCGTCTCGGCTAGCCCTAACCCTTGAGCCGAACACCCCCCCAAGTCCCAAACCCTAAACCCCTAAACCCTAAACCCCAAACCCTAAACCCTAAACCCCAAACCCTAAACCCTAAACCCTAAACCCTAAACCCCAAACCCCAAACCCTAAACCCTAAACCCTAAACCCTAAACCCCAAACCCACACTACTCCCATTTCAACCAGGCCCCGGTCTCTTAAGCCCCTCGACTTGCGAAGGCGGCAGAGGGCGCGGAACTCTGGGCTCGATCCTCAGGTTTTCAGTGCCTCTGTGGTTTGGGGGGGTTTAGGGTTTAGGGTTTAGGGTTTAGGGTTTGAGGGTTCAGGGTTGGGGGTTTGGGGTTGAATCATTTCGGGTTTAGGTTCAGGGTCGAGGGTTCAGTGGTTGAGGGTTTTAGGGGGTTTCAGGGTCCTTTCTAGCGGGCGGTTTGCAGGGTTTGCAGGGTTCACAAGGTTTACAGGGTTTACAGGATTTTAGGGGGTTTGCAGGGTTTATAGGGTGTATAGGCTTTATGGGGTTTACAGGCTTTGTAGGGTCTATCGGGTTTATGGGGTTTATGGACTTTATAGGGCCTATCGGCTTTATCGGTTTAGGGTTTAGGGTTTAGGGTTTAGGGTTCAGGGCCCAAGTACAAGAAACCCCTTGGCAGGATGTTTATCTCTGAGCTACCCTGCGCCATCTTGGATCTTGGGATCCTCTGCTACCCGCGTCCCCTCCCCCCCCCACAAAAAAAAAGAAAACCAAAAAGGAAATGACAAGCAGAAAAGGAAATTCAAGACAACTAGATAAACCCCAGGGTCCGGCCAAGAAAGAACGGCTGATTAAACAAACTAAAAAATAGGCCTTCTTGTGGGATCGAAGCTAGCTTGCCAAACCCCTGGGTTTCCCTAAACCCCCACAAGAACCTGAGAACCCTAACCCTTTGCGGCGGCGAAGTTTTCTCACAGACATCCTTGTCCACAGTGCGGATGTCTGTTTATTTATTTATTTTTTTCCGGGGCTTCAAGGTTCAGGGCTTTGGCTAGGAGGCCAAGTAGTTCCCTGCTCCCCGCCCCATACCTTCAGCCCTCTTTATTTTTGGGTTTCTGTTGAGCCGAGTTAGGTGGGTTGAAGGGCTTCTTGAGTCGGACGGCTGGTGTTTATGTAGTGCTTTAGTGTGTGAGGGTTCCCTACATATCCATTCGGCCTAAACCTAAACCCTCAATTCTGGCGAGGAGCTGATGTTCGCCGAGTGGCTGAATGACCGATGTTTTTGTCCGGATTTGGGTCGCAGGGTCCCGGAAGAGGGAGTTGGAGATTGCCTTGGGGAGGAAGGCCTCAAGGGTTTTGGGGCTTTCGAGTTTAGAGAGGGCGAGGGCTTCTGAAGGTCTGCTGTTCTCGAGAGGGTGAGATGGAGAGGTCAAGCGGTTGCGCTCCTTGAGGCGTAAACCCCACCCAAACGCCAAACGCCAGAGCCCTGAACCCCAAACCCTAAACCCGAAACCCTAAACCCTAAACCCTAAGCCCTAAAGACCATAGCACTTTCAGCACCCCCTCACCCCTCAGGAGTTTAGGGTTTAGGGGGTTAGGAGGTTTAGGGGTTTAGGGGTTTTAGGGGTTTTAGGGGTTTAGGGGGTTTAGGGGGTTTAGGGGGTTTAGGGGGTTTAGGGGTTTAGGGCAAGTAAGCATGCGGATTGTCGGGGGTCTGTGAGGTGGGGGGTTGCCAGGGCTCTAAAAGCCAGTGCAATGCTACCCTGTTGCACTGTTCTGTCCATCGGATGGCGAGGGTTTGGGGGGTCCGGTCGTTCAAATTAGGACACGCGGCCCCAGCCTCACGGACGAGCAGACGAAACTGCCCTGACTGGCATCCTTTACCCTCTCCAGGCTTACATTGGTTTGGGCAGCAGAAGGCGCAGGAGACTTTGTTGCCGCATCACTCTCCAGTGGACCCTGCAGACAGTGGCAGCGGGTGCTAGAGCATCGGCGGGCAGCAATCAAAGCAGCTGCGAAGAAGCAACGTGTTTGTCAGAGGAACACTCGCACTCTTTAGTCTATAGGCATAGGTCCTTAAGAAATGAAACGGGTTTCGAATTCAGGTGTATTCGGGATAGGGGTCAGAATATACAGGATCAACACAAAGCACAAAAATGATCAGCACAAAACCCTAACCCCTAAACCCTAAACCCTAAATCCTAAACCCTAAACCCTAAACCCAGACCCTAAACCCTCGGTTGTTGATTTTTGTTGATCCCCTTTTCTTGATCCGGCAGCCGTGGTCTATTCAGGGTAGGCTTCCGGGTTCAGGATCTCATATGAAGCATACTAAAACTCTAAACCCTAAACCCTAAACCCGAAACCCTAAACCCTAGACCCTAAACCCTATGTGAAGTGACGTGAAAGGTCTTCGTAGCAGCATTTAGCCAGAGGTCCGGGAAGCGAGAGGGCCCCCTCGAAAGCAAAACGTCATAGATTTTTGGTTAGCATGTTCATTAGATTTTTTGTTAGTTCCTAGGCCTTAGTGAGACAGGAAAACACAAATCCGTAAACCTACCTCCCTAAGCCCTGAATCCCTGCATCCCTAAACCCTAAACCCTACACCCTCAACCCTAAACCCTAAACCCCAAACCCCAAACCCTAAACCCTAAACCCCGAAGCCCTAAACCCTAAACCCTCAACCCTCCAGGACCTCTCGGAGCAGAAGCTAGCGCGCCTGCGCCGCGAGCAGCGAAAGCAGGTTGAGGAGCCTTGAGGGCCAGTTCTCTGAGGGTTTAGGGTGTAGGGTTTGGGGTTCAGGGTTTAGGGTTTAGGGTTTAGGGTTTAGGGTTTAAGGTTTAGGGTTTGGGGTTTAATTAGGGTTTAGGGTTTAGGGTTTAGGATTCAGGGTTTGGGGTTTAAGTTCTCCAAGGGTTTGGGGTTTATGGCTTTAGTTCTCTAAAGGTTTGGGGTCTATGTTTTCTGGCTGTAGTTCTCTAGGGGTTTGGGATTTACGGGATTGGGGTTTGTGGTTTATGCTGTATGGCTGTAGTTCTCTAGGGGTTTGGGGTTTATAATTCTCTAGGGGTTGGGGGTTTATGGGTATATGGGGTTAGGGGTTTAGGTAGGTCGTTTATATATATATATATACATATATAAAAATGTATATATATATATATATATATATATATTTTTGTTGTTTTTGTTCAGTTGGGTGGGGGGTTGTAAAGACCCTGTCTAGGGGTTTAGGCAGAGGTCTTTTGTTTGGGGGGGTTTTAGGACTTTGGGGTTTTAGGGTTTTTGAGTTTTGGGGGGTTTACGGCCTCGGGGTTTAGGGTTTGTATGGTTGGGGGTTTGTGGGTCCGCAGCTGGACAAACGCAAGTTTGATCAAGAAGTGACTCCTTAAAGCAGGGAAGCCATGTTTTCAATTTTGGCAAGTATTGTTTACAAGCCCGAAACCCTAAACCCTAAGCCCTATCAACCTAAATCCTGAACAGTTGAGTTCTGGTCTCTGGTGGGGAGTCTGACGGTCCATCCCAACACACCCCCACCCCCCTCCCCACTAAATTGGGGTATATAAGGGGTATATAAGGGGGTCCCCCTTTGAGGGCCCATATTAAGGGACCATTTTAACCCCCCCAAGACTCTCCGCGCAATAAAGGCGGAGGATGCCAAAACGGCGGCGTCGAAGACGTCGCCGGGCTTCCTGCAGAAGATGTCGCGCGGGCCCGAGGTTTAGGGTTTAGGGTTTAGGTTTCCGGGTTTAGAGTTTAGGGTTTAGGGTGTAGGGCCGAGGACTAGAGGAGAGTGCTTAGGGTTCCTTGTCGCGTTCTGGGTCCCTGTGTTCCAAGTTCCTGATCAACAGAACTTGAGTGGGGGGAAGGGGGGTCTTAGGACGGTGCTTCGATACCCCCTGCTCTTCTGCTGTGACGCTGCGTTGATGAATTGAGACATGGCCTGTTGCTAAATGTCGAATCTGCCATTCCCAAGTCTCCTGAACAGTTCTGTCTGTCGTCCTTCCAACATTTCCAGGGTTTAGGGTTTAGGGTTTAGGGCTGTATGGGCTGCAGAAGCCGTTAAGCCCTCAACCCTAAACCCTACATACCCTAAACTCCAGTTTTATGGGTCCACTCGTCGATCTTCAGTCAGTGGCCGGTGGAAGCAGCTCTTGGTCCGCATGTCTCAAGCGTTCCGTTCTTTCACCCCAAGCCCCCTCCCAATGCCCATACAGCCCTCATTTCCTACACTTCTGAGCTGCTGAACCCTGAGCCCTCAGAGCCCTAAATCCTAAACCCTAAACCCTAAACCCTGAACCCTAAACCCTGAACCCTAAGCCCCTAAGCCCCTAAGCCCGGAACCCAAAGCCTAAGCCCTAACTCGGCAAATTGGAACTTGCAAGTAGCATCTCTTTACCCATGTGTCT